CCCCACCCAGAGTACATGTTGTGCCCATGCCATACTCAGTGCTTCCTCCAAGTGTTGTTCAACATGGAGGACTGTCAATTCATCAGCTGAGAGAGGACAGTATGTGGTAATCAGCAGGAGATTTCCTTGCCCATGTTTAACCTGAAGCCACAAGACTTCATGGGGTCCCGAGTCAATGCTGAGGACTCCCAGAGTAACTCCCTCCCGAGGGTCAGTGCTGAGGGAGCACCGCACTGTCAGAGGGTCAGTGCCAAGGGAGCGCCACACTGTGCGAGGGTCAGTGCCACTGTGCCACCCCCTCTGCTGGGTCTGTCCTGATAATGGGACAGGACAAATCCAGGGATGGTGATGGTGGTGTCTGGGAAATTGTCTGTAAGGTATGATTCTGTGAGTATGACTATGTTAGGCTGTTGCTTGACTAGTCTGTGAGGCAGCTCTCCCAATTTTGGCACTAGCCCCCAGATGTTAGTGAGGAGGACTTTGCAGGGTCGACAGGGCTGTTTCTGCCGCTGTCTTTTCTGGTGCCTGGGTCGATGCCAGGTGATCTGTCTGGTTTCATTTCTTTGAGACTTTGCAGCAATTGGTAGAACCGTGTGGCTTGCTAGGCCATTTCAGAGGGCAACTGAGAGTCAAACACATTGCTGTGGGTGTGGAGTCACACGTAGGGAACAACAGTTTTGTGGTCATCATTAATTCCACTGTCTGCTGTGGCAGGATTCGAATCTGGATCCCCAGAACATTAGGGGAGTTTCTGCATGAAAAGTCTAGTGATATTATCACTAGCCCATGTAATATTCGTAAAGCACATAATTCTCAGTTACAATCCATGCTGATGCTCTCCATAAAATGCGAAAGCTCATGGTTTGTCTATGACACATTTGTGCTAGGATTATATACCATGAACAGTGAGAACAAGCAGCTAGAAGGAACAAGATGAAAGTGGTTGCTGATAGCTCAAATGTCAGATTTCAGCTTATTTGAGGTTTCTGAAAGTGACTGGGATCTGCAAGAAAGCTCTGAGTCACCCAACAGCTCTCAGCTCCATTACCACCTCACCCTCATTACTGTCAAGAGAAACTTCACATCATCGGTCTCTATCAGATTCACTCTCCTCCTTCCCTGTCCACATACACATTCCTTCACCCTCCACCCTCCACCCTTAACTATCCTTCCCAGTACTCCCACCTCCCTCCCCCAGTCCTTCTCCTACTGAACTGTCCGAGGGTCAGTGCTGAGGGAGCGCCGCACTGTCGAAGGGTCAGTACTGAGGGACTCAGTACGCAGTGTCAGGCAGATAGGAGAGAGTCATTTATTGCAGCATTTCTAGCCTCTGACCTGCTCTTGTAGCCACTGTGTTTTTTGGCTTATCATGGAGTGATACAGCACAGAAAAAGCCCCTTTGGTCCAACCCGTGTGTGCTGACCAAGTTTCCCAAAACCAGCCTAATTTGCCTGTGTTTGGCCCATATCCCTGTAAATCTTTCCTATTCATGTACCTGTCCAAATGTCTTTTTAATGTACCTGCATCTACCACTTCCTGTCAATGTTCATTCCAGTACAGACCATCCTTTTTCGAAAGTTACCCCTCAGGTTCCTTTTAAAATCTTTCTCCTCTCACCTCAAAAATTATACAGAATGTGACCATCCAGAAGTTTACCCTCGAGTTGCTGCTAATCAAAGTGTCTCGTTCAGAATCTGGTCAATAGCAGCAATACTGATGCCATTGAATATCAAGGGGCAGGGGTTAGATTGCCTTGTTGGTGATGGTCATTGCCTGGGAATTGTGTGAATGTCACTTACCATTTTTCAGCCCAAGGCTGGATATTGTCCAGGTCTTGTTGCATTTGCAAAAAGACCGCTTCAGTGTCTGAGAAGTTCCGAATGGTGCTGAACACTTTGCAGTCTGTTATTTCAAAGGGAGCAGAGTATAAAAATAGGGAGGTTTTGCAAGAACTATACAAGGCACTAGTCAGACCACAGCTGGAATACTGTAAACAGGTTTGGGCCCTTTATCTAAGGAAAGATATCCTGGCATTGGAGGAAGCCCAGAGAAGGTTCACTAGGTTGATAGCAAATGTGGAGGGACTGTCTTATGAGGAGAGGTTGAGTTGATTGAGCCTGTGCTTGTTGGGTTTAGAAGAACGAGAGGTGACCTTATTGAAATGTACAAGATTCTAAGGGGATTTGTCAGGGTAGGTATGGGAAAATTGTTTCCCCTTGTAGGATAGCCTTGGAGCAGAAAGCATAGTCTCAGAATAAGGATTCACCCATTTCAGACAGGGATGAGAAGCAACGTCTTCTCTCAGAGGGTGGTGATTCTGTGGAATTCTTTACTGCAGAGGGATGTTGAGGCTGGGTTGTTAAGTGTATTAAATGTGTTACTGGTGTATAAAAGGGTAGAAGTGTTGCTGTACCTGTACAAAGCACTGGGGAGACCGCACCTGCAGTTACTGCATACAACACTGCTCCCCATACCCGAGAGGGGTGTATTGCAACAAGAACAAAGTTGCTGGAAAAGCTCAGCAGGTCCGGCAGGATCTGTGAAGGTGACCCTTCCTCAGAACTGATGGTGGCTAGGAAATGTCAGTTTATATGCAGAAAATAGGGAGGGGGATGGGGTAGGGAGTAAACGATAGGATAGAGCCCAAACAGAGAGACGAACAGTTGGACAGACAAAGGAGTTGATAACGATCCGGCTGGGAGGGTGAATAGCTATTAATGGGGACCAAAAACAGAAGTTGCTGGAAAAGCTCAGCAGATCTGGCAGCATCTGTGAAGGAAAAAAACAGAGTTAACGTTTTGGGTCCAGTGACCCTTCCTCAGAGTGTGTAATGCCAGGCTATGTGATAAACAAGGCCTGGTGTGTGGGGTAGGGGGCTAGGACATGGGAGAGTTTAGGCCCTACATTATTGACCTCGATACTGGTAGAGGGATTGAGTTTCGGAGCCATGAGGTCATGTTGCAGCTGTACAAAAGTCTGGTGCGGCCGCACTTGGAGTATTGCGTACAGTTCTGGTCACCGC